AGAGCAAATATGATTTACAGAAGGCTCATGCTGCAATGTATATATGCTTCTATGAGTTCATGGGCCTGACTTTTGGTCTCTGACTTGATACATGTATTTTTACACAAGTCACTGTTTCTCTCTGGGCTTTTATTCTTCCCATTTGTGGTATGGGATTTCTAGGACCAATAAGCTATGAAAGAGATTAAGATGAAATATTTTGAGATATCCTTGTGGGTCCACAGCTTTTATGGGCCCCTGAATTTGTGGTTACTTTATCAGGGGAAATGCAGTGTTCTCTTCCCAACTCCAGGCATTCCTTTTTATAAGGGTAATAAAATATGCTGGATATTTTTGAAGGTTGTGGGGTCTGGATATAGACATGTTTCATGAAGGAAACTAGGGTTTCTACTGGGTGAGGGACTTGTTTCTAGGTCTTATAACTATAATGGGGAACCAGAAGTTGTTCCTTTTACCAACTATGTGAAGCTAGCATCTAGAGATGAGAAAAATATTGAAGTTTTGACTATGTACTGGGCAGGCAAGGTGGTGGTAAAGTGAAAGAGGACTCTTTGTTCACTTTTGTGTACTATTTTGACTTCTGTAATCATTTCAAAAGAGAAGAGCTGAACTTGTGCTACAATGGCCCCAGAAAATGAGGAAGATGATTTGACATTAATTACATGGAATAAAGGAAGCAATGTAGATTGTACACATGACACAGAACAAGACCTCACAGGGGAGCCTGATTTAAAATATTATGAACATGTGTGTGTTTGTGTGTGTGTATATCTAACCCTATTTCTATTTGAGGAGAAATAATTTCTTGCTCTTACCCCTACCTCACATTATAAGAAAAGGCCACAAGTTAAAGAAAATGACCTATGGTGACTGCTACTATTTTAAATATTTTAGGATTCAGGAAGATAGAAATCTTTTGGAGTGGTAAATCTATACCTTAAAAAGAAGGGAAGCCATTTCTGTACATATATAGTCCCCCAAGTCAGAAGTATTCCTTCTTTTTTGGGTTTCTGTTTGACTGAGGAAGTCATCCAAGTAGATCTGGCAGGATGATGGGGAGGGGAATGGAAGCTAGTGTAGGGAGACCTATTTAACCAAAGATTCATTGTACTTTATCTGTGCTGACCTATGGAGTGAGATAAGGGTGGCTTGGGTTCGAAGAGGAAAGATAAAAAAAGCAAAGGTGCCATTCATACTCCTAGGGGCCCCAATCATCTTAACTAGTCTCACTTAATCTTCCTGGTAGGTTCTACCATACTCTGAAAGAATACCAACACAATTGATGTTGCTATCATGATTCAATATTTATTGAACATCAAAAGAATATCAGCACACTAGATTCATAGTGCAGGAGCAAAACTGAACCCTCATCTGTAACACAACTATATTAATGAAAAGCTATCTTCTGAAGAAAGGGAAGTGAATCTGGGCCCAGTTGGTCCCCTGAGCTGGTAGAGTTGAGCCTCTCTTTGGTCACCTGGTGGCAAGACACCAACATCGAGTAGTGAATGGAGGCATGATGGCCAAATTCTAGTACTATGGACACTTCTCTTTGGTGTTTGGAGGGAAGCAGCAGAAGCCCCAGGCAAGGATGCTAGAAGAGTCTAGGGGCAATTCCAGCAGCTGGATTGTTTGAGGTGCATATAGAAAATTACTGGGCAAAGCCAATCACTCTCAAGAGCCCCAGGGTTGACAGGGAAGACACTTGGACAGTCTAAGAAGAAAGATAGCAAGAAAAGGGGTCATGCAGAAGGCAGGAACTAAACAGGCAATAATGTCAGAAAACTCTGGCCTAGTGGGGCATGTTTTGGCAGACACTCTTGCCCTCAGTGGCAAGAAGGTCATAATCTGGGGGAAGTGTGTGCAGCAGGTAGGCGTAGTCACTGTTGATCTGGGCGATGATCTGGTACTCCTGGCCCAAGGAGGGCTCATTAGAATAGTTGTTGTCCAGAGCCTCAGAAGCTGGCTCATTGCTGGAACAGCCACTTGTGAAGATGGCCACTCTCATGGCTTCTCCAGCATTCCTGGCCTCTCTGGCATGCATCCTGTGGTCCAAGAGTCCACCACCCATGAGAAGGGGCCAGTACCTTGGTTTCCCACCTTTCTGCCTCATGTTTTTTCAATCTGACCCTCAGACTCTTGTAGCCCAGGAATTCTGTGAGTAGAGGACTGGTGGACCTAAATTATGCTGTGTGTTCAGTGGGCCAGGACAGAACATCAGAAGGTAACTTAGAAAAATTTAGCTGTCTCCTGACTCTGAAGGACTCTTGACTTAGGATAGAGTCTGTCACATCCCTCTTTCTTCATATTTCCTGTTAGTGACCAACAGAGTTGAGGGT